GTGAGTCTTAGGAATTAATGCTAAGAGAGTGGAATTATTTTTAATTTCATGATATTTTGTTATTTTCTAAAATTAATTAATTTTAATTTTTTTTAAAAATAATCTGATGTGTCCACCACGTTTCTATAACGTCAACAATAGTTCGAACGTTAACTACCATATGGTCAACCGTTATTTGTAGCGGTCAAAAAGTGGCATTTGTTTTTATAGTTCAAATGTTGTAGTGGTGTTAGCCTAACAAAACTATGTTAGTCTAATATAGTTATAATATGTTAGACTAATATGATTATAGTGAGTTTAGTGAATTTAACCACTAATCACAAAAATCATTATTTTACTAACCATACATAATCCACTTTGTCAATGTGGTTAACCAAACTAGTTTTGCGGCCCGCCCGATGGGCGGCTTAGTTTTTGAATGCAACATTTCGTAGCTAGGGTTATATGTTGAATATGTACCTTACTATGCATGTTTATCAAACATAATTTTCTATTATTTTTTATATCGAACATATTCATGTAGTACTTTAGAAAAATTATCAAACATGCTCTTTTGTTATAATTTCTATCCAAAATTGTCACTCATGTTCGAACATTTGTTTAGAGGACCTGACCTTGATAAAATTAATTGTGAGGGAAAATGTCAATTTTTTCCATCAATTTTTCTTTGAGTCTTGTTAAAGCAAAATTATTAGAGGTACTGAGCTATACAAAGGAAACCAAAAATGTTTTATAAAATTATTATGCTTCTTTTAGATATTTGTGTCACCCAAACCACAATTTGATAAATGATCAATATTCTTTTCGATGGAAAACTTAACAAAAAGCATAGCTGATAATTTAAATACAGGGGTACGTTTTATGTAAGAATAGTGGATTAGGTTGCTAATTAGGAAGCTTCAAATATGGGATGTTTTCTGATCATGAATTGTTTAATCTTTCAATTCTAGCCGATCGAAAATCATGATAAAAAAAGAGATGCATGCTAATAAGTTTTAATTTGTGAAACAATTATTAAGTGTAAACCTTTAATTAAAAAAGTAGTATTAGAACTATAACACTACTATTAGTGATTATATACTATATTGTTCCTATGAAAATGCAAAACTTCTAAAAAAACGCACCCTAAAATTAATCAGCATTTGCCATCTCATTTAATTTATCTTTTTTTTTATATAAATTTGCTTTTGTCTTTTGAATTTCCTAGCAAACCGTTGGTATATTGGTCGGTACAATAGGACTCATTCAATACCGGACACAAATTAGTTAGAATATCTCGATACGAAGTGATAGTCGGAATTAGTCAACACTGAGAAAACATGTGGTTTGGTTGTTATGACCAATTTTTGGCTACTAAAGAAATGACGTTGTTTTGATGAATTGATTTAAACAAAGCTATTATTGAAATATGATGATTTTTTGTAACATTGTATTTTTTTTTAATATAAATTTTGGTTGTAGTGATCACTTTGTACATAGTTAACAAAAGTATACCGATTGAATCATACTACTTGCTAAACTTATAAAATGATATAAACTGGTTTGCCAATCCTCCATTTTTGTTAAGTTTATCAGCCTATTAACTCCATTTATTTTGAAAGAAAATAAATTTTAATAAAATAAAACTGTTTGTTCTTTGAATAAAAAAATATATCCTTGAATTATTTTTTTTTTTAATTCTTCCTCCTTCGCCTCATCTTCTCTCTTGGCATGTTGATTCATATTCTTCAATTCTGAATATCTGTTCTAGATTAATTAGGGATTTGCTTCCCATCTCTTCGGTACATCCATGGCAAATTTACGATCTGGTTTTAGTTCTTTCCTAGGGTTAGTCTTCGCCTGTTTGACTTTTAATCTTTTAAAAAAGTAATTTAAGGGGTTGTCTCAGGAGAGATGGAGCAATGTGGAAGGGCGAAGGAGTTCGAAACTTCATAGCAGCATGATCTGATTGCGTGCAGCGATTTTTGTCGTGTCCAGTCTTGGTCTTGGAGGCACTGCCGAGGTGATCGGAGGCGGAGCTTTAGTTGCAACACATATAGAGAGGCAAAGCCTTGTTTGAGAAGAGCGGAGGAGGTTGGAACGCGAAGAGATAAAATGAAAGAGAGTAATTACAAATAGAACCTTCCGTTTTGTGCGGGTTGGCGAGCGATTGCTGAGGTGTCAAAATTTGTTTTTTGACATTGCCTTATAGGTATTTCTAGATGGTCAATTATCCACAAACAAACTGCAAACCAAACTTTCTAACCCTAATCAAAAGGTCTCCCTCTGTCTGCATTTGCACATATTAACTGACACGGAGGGAGGCAGCCGTCGGGAAGTGGGGGAAGCAAAAAAAAAAAATTAGTGGAAGGGAAGAGATGTACACATCAGTGGTCGGTCCCGATGGCCGGCCCGGCGCCGGCCGCCCTATACTATAACCAGCCAGCCAGCCTCGGACACGCAAATTCTGATGATGATTAAATAAAACCGACCCACTCCCCCCCGCAACCCGCTTTTTCCCTTGTTTACAAATTTGCCCATGGCGTCGTACTTTGTCTGGGGAGGGCGTTTCCGGCAATTCCGGTGACGATTCCCAAAACCTCCCCCACCACCTTCGCTACGCCATCTCTGTGCTGGTTTAGTTTAATTTAGCATTTGGTTGGGACTTGGGAGCTCCGCTTTTGGGTCCCCAAAGCTCTGACTTACAGACGTAATCTACTGGCTACTACGGACCTTTTTCTATACTTCGCCCTTGCTTTTAACCAAAAATTACGATCGCTCTGCCACTTCCCCCCCTCCTTTCTTCGATACTTTCCCCCGCTTGTAACTAATTCTGTTTTTTTTCTTTTGAAGGAACTTGTAACTAATTCTTGTTAACATTCAGCTGCTTGCATTTCTGGAAGAGCAATTTCAGTTATGTCAATCAGCATCAATTTCGGATGCATAATTGATGCACTCTTTAACTATTAATACTAAACTTGCTAATAAGTTAACAGAGTTTCCTAATTTCGTAATTATCAAATGCTCATTGACCATTCTCTATCCAAAGGCCATTACTATGCTTATTATAATGGATAATATACGACCAAATGTAAGATAGCGTTAACGGTAAAGCTGCTGCAACAGTGAAGGTTCGGAAAGTTTTGTTTTTGGCAGAGATGACAAATAGATTGTATTGATATATTGGTGGATTAAATGGATTGGATCAAACGGACTGATGGATTGAATCATGGATCCAAGTGACATATAAAAACATGGCTAATATGTAATTTAGAAAAAGTTAGGTACCAAAATGGCATAATAAAACATTTAGGCACTAAAACATAATTTCCAAATGAGATTTTTTGTTTAAAAATAAATTTTAGGTATCAAATTGTAGAACATAAAAATTGTAGGTATTTAACTATAATTTCCAAGTATCCATAAAGTCACCCATCCAATTGGATTTGGATTAAATGAATTGTAATAATTGAATATTTGATTGGATAGATTGGATTAAATTAGTGAATTGATACAAAATTACCACATCTATTCGGATATTCATGTTATTGTGCAACAGCTGGCATAGCGCACCAAACAAATATATATTTATATTTTTTGCGTTGCGCGACCAAGGCTGTTAGTAAATAGGTATATGATTAATAATTGAACCTTTTCCAACAATTTACGTTATTGAGATCAATTGGTTCTTGAAAGTTATTTGGACCAACTAGTTCTTGACATGGTATTATACCTTTTGTGATCGAGAGATCTCCTGTTCGAATCTCGATGATCCCAATCCATTATGTTAAGCACATGGTGTCCAAACTTGTGCAAACTTCAAGTCCATATATGGTGGCTTTCGTTTGAAGGGATGTGTTACTAAATGGTATATGATCCATAATTGAATCTCTCCTAACAACTCGAATAATTGTGACTAAATGGATCTTGACAAAGAGTTGCATATGAAATACTTTGTGATGCTAACTTTTGCATTTCATTGGTGTATGTTCAAATTAAGGGTATTTACAATAATTACTTAATTAGTCAGGTGAAAAATACTTTTGGGATTGAAGGAGAAATAAATTGTAACTGATTTCTATATAGGAAAGAATGAAAATAATATTCTTATAAGTTCTACAAACTACTAAAGACTAAAACTATTCATCATACATACTTCTTGTTCTTGATACATGTGAATTTGGTCTAGCATTTTTATTACGGGTTTTTAACCTGGAATTACAAACCGGCATGACACCACCGGTATGATCGACTTACGCATTTTAAGTAAAATGACATCATTTTAATGAGTTTAATGAATAAAAAAATTGATTTATTATTCATTTTATGAATGTAATAGTTAAAAGTTGATGATATTTGTTGGATTGTAACTAAATTGTCCACAAATATGTTTTATATATGATTAAATACATTAGATATTAATTGTTTTCACATTTTTTTAAACCGGCATTAACCGGCACAAACTGGTTATATCACCGGTCGTACCATTCCACTTGCCAAACCGGCACAACGGTATAAACCGGTTTGACAACCTTATGTGTGATTGGTTTCATGTCCTAGATGAGTTTAAAGTAGACTTATAGTTCTTTGTATCTCTATTTTCTTGATGTGTCTAAGAAAAAAACATTACATCCATTTTCCATCCTTAAACCAGTAACGGAAAAAAATTTCTCTTAAAATAGGAAGCAAATTGGCATGAAAGTAATTATAGAGTAGCAAACATGCAAATTGGTAATGTTAAGCCAAAGCTCAAAGCTGGTGTGCCTAACTACGTGCACCAACCACACTCTTGAATATAAAATAAAGAAAGATATTTGACTACAATGCAATGCTCTGTCTCCTCCCCTTCCCTTCCCTTTTCAATTCATTTATCTTAGATTATGAGTTTTATTAAAAGAAAATGTGGAATCATCATTTTCCACATTGAAATAAGTTAGGGACTCAAATGTTAGGGAAACAAAATTGAGTGAGTGGCGAGCAACCAGGAAATCAAAAGTTATTGTGTGATCAAATTTGGAGATGCTCCTCATTCCTCACCGTCTCACAGCACTGTAGTTCACTCACTTGGATTCCAGTACTCCCGGTAAAATTGCGATTTTAGTGAGGGCATTTAAAGGATTTCGTTTAGCTAACAGCTAAACCGCCATTTTCCCCCCTCTCTTCTCTCTAGCTTTTCCTCCGCTTTGCATCTTCCACCGCGAAAGGTTGTTGGAGAGAGCTTGAAAGTTGAAGGCATCTCCATTATTTATTCAGAGAGAGAGAGGAAGAGGGGAAGCGGAGAAGACGGGGGAAGCCAATACCAGTTGGCCACTCGCATAACCGTACCGGATGCCAATCTCTGAAGTGGAGACGCACAGGGCGGCCAACAGGTCACACCGCGCGGCGAGACAGCAGCCGGCCGCCGGGAAGCGAGTTCCCCTACGGCTGTTGCTGCAAGTGACGTCGATTGCCGGCGGGATACAATTCGGATGGGCTCTGCAGCTCTCTCTCCTGACTCCTTACGTCCAGGAGCTGGGAATTCCGCATGCTTGGTCCAGTGTGATATGGCTCTGCGGGCCACTGTCGGGCCTCATAGTCCAGCCCCTGGTGGGCCACTTGAGCGATCGATGCACCAGTCGGTTCGGCCGGAGGAGGCCGTTCATCGTCGCCGGTTCGTTGCTGATCTCGTTCTCCGTCCTCATCATCGGTCACTCCGCCGATATCGGCTGGCTGCTCGGGGATAGAGGCGATTTCCGGCCCAGAGCAATCGGAGCTTTCGTTTTCGGGTTTTGGATTCTCGATGTTGCCAATAATATGACCCAGGGCCCTTGCAGAGCTCTCCTTGCTGATATGACTGGTAAAATTGACTGAATTCCCTATCCGTTAATGCTTAATTTGGGTCTGATTTCCAGTTTCTGATGTTCGTGTTCTCAACTTCGAAAACCCTAATCGAGCTGATATTTAGTGAATTACTGCTCTGCTCAGCTCTGCTTTACCTTTCCTTTCTTCCTTCGTTTTTCTCTTTTCACCCGCTTGTTTGGCCATTAGTGATTGATTGATTAATTAGCTTATCTTAATACGATATTTTTGGTTCATTGATTGTCATATGGAGAAGCATTCTTGGTGGTGATTAATTAGTTAATTAATACTACTATTATTACTGTACCCTATTCTTGTCGTTGCTACTTTATCATCCTTTTCAAGATTCGATCATTCTCTACCAGCTGCCCAAGTAGTGCTCTGTTGGTGGGGACCTGGATAAGATTGTTGTCAATGTTCAAGGACTATTATGCCCTAATCCAATTTATTAAGAAACAAAAAGAGAGTTTCCCGGTTCATTCGCCGGGGGAGGAAGAGAGCTTCCGGGTCAGTGTCATAGTTACATTCGGGCAGAGATTTGGATGGTGGGGTCGGAGTCGGGCCGGTTGGTGAAGAATGGGAATGAAGTGACTGGGAATGTGGGTATGGTGTGGAGGGGTCAGTTGTAGCGGCCTGGTCGCCATTCCTGCTTGATTTGCTTCTCATAAGTAGCTGCCTCGGGAGGTTTAGTACCAAAGGTGGGGACTGGGATGGCTTCAACAAGCCAAAACTTCACTGTCATATGTTTTCACTATTCAAGGTTGTCCAGAATCCCAAATTAAGCACATTCTTCATGATTTCGTTATTGAAGAAAATGGAAGAGAGGGTATTAATGGTTTCCAGAATTGGGTTATCATTTATATTCCCGGCCCTACAGGTTAGTGGTGAATAAAAACTTAGCTTTTCCATTTAGTGGTCAGTCCGAGCTGTTTAGGGGTTTTTTTCAATAGGACGAGCTTAGGAGTTAGGAGGATAGGGTGCCGTGTTACATATCCTTTGGAGATAGAAAATTGGACTGAATAGAAAACGTTGTCTTCTCAACCCAACGCGGGCTGTACTTAATAGCCGATAATTTCAGTATTCACCCGCCCCTGGCAGCGATAATGTAGTGTTTGCAAGTTAGGTAATCCAATCCAGCAGAAAAGTACTTGTCGGGTGTGGTCAGTGTTCTTTGCGCCAGATATATTATCCCAAAATAATGATGGTACACCTAATGTACTGGAAAACTTCTTTTGGACAGTTTGTTTGAGTGGGTCCGAGTTCTGTTGAAGTTTGTATCCTTTATAGTGCACATGTGGTTGCATTTGGTTTTGATGCTCTGTTTTTTGGAAGGTTGCTGACATTAGCGCCTTTGTTGTTTCCATCTATGTCTAAATTTAGGGAAAATGGCAATGGGTTCACTTTCTTTGGCCCGATTTTTCTCGCTCCCTGTCTCTTTTGAAATCTACTTTTCTTCGAGCACCAGACAACTCTTGGGGAATGATACTTTTAAATAATTTTACACGTTGGATGATATTTTAGCTGTTAGTATTTTCTGTTGTTCTTCACCTATTGTTGTTATGTTCTTGTCAAGTGGAAACCTGGAAATTGGTCTTCAAGTGAAAAATTGCCTTTAGTTCAAAACCTGTATAGATATTGATTGGCTCAACTTAGATGGAATTCAATGTATGATGTTGATCACTTGATATGTTCACAGGGAAAGATCACCGCAGGACTCGAGTGGCGAATGCTTATTTCTCACTTTTCATGGCTGTTGGCAATATCCTTGGCTTTGCCACTGGATCATTCAGTGGTTGGTACAAAATTTTCCCGTTCACTGTAACAGCTGCATGTAACGTGGACTGCGCCAATCTTAAGTCGGCTTTCTATCTTGATATTATCTGTATTGTAATCACTGCGTATATCAGCATTTCATCTGCTAAAGAACCCTCTATAGGGTTGTTGTCTCAAAGATCAATACCTGCTGCTGAAGAAGCAGTGGAAGTGTCCAGCCATGCAGAAGAGGCTTTCCTCTGGGAGCTGTTTGGGACTTTCAGATACTTCCCATCATCTGTTTGGACTATTTTGCTAGTTACTGCCCTGAACTGGATTGGTTGGTTTCCATTTCTTCTCTTTGATACTGACTGGATGGGGCGAGAAATCTTTGGAGGTGACCCTGATTCAGGACCTAGTTATAGTGCTGGAGTCAGAATGGGAGCATTTGCTCTCATGTTGAATTCGGTTCTATTGGGAATAACTTCAGTACTGATGGAGAAGATCTGCAGGAAATGGGGAGCTGGCTTCATATGGGGACTCTCAAACATCTTTATGGCTCTATGTTTCCTTGCAATGCTTATAATTGCCTACGTAGCCTACCATATCGGCTATTATGGTGATGGTGATGCTCAACCACCAGTTGGCATTCTTGTTGCTGCACTGATTGTTTTTGCACTTCTTGGAATTCCATTGGCAGTAAGTTTGCGGAATCCTTCCCACTGATGACCTATAGCTTTAAGTTGGTTTTCTTCAATCTTTTTGGTGAATCCTTTTTTTGCTGGATTTTGCATTTTCGCTCTAGACTCTCATAAATAAAAGGAGCCATCGGAAACTTAGCTTTGCGTTGTTGGAAACCCAGTTATAAAGGTTGCTACAAGTTAAAGAATGCATTGACACAATCGTGGCTGCTACCTTATAGTTGGTATCCTCTGCTGAAAGCCTGGACAGTGTTATTCTTTTGCTTTAAAAGAGAAGAGTTTTGATGTATTACATGAAGTGGTAACCTTAGTTCATATATAAGATAGTATTGGTTTAACTGCCGGTGTTTAATGCTACAACCTTGGAAATAATTTGGAACTTTTCATTTTTAGGAGACTTAAATGGACTGATTTGGATTGCGTGTTGATCAGGCATTGAAACTAATTTTAATTTATTGTGTCATGCAGATCACTTATAGTGTTCCATATGCTTTAGTGTCGTCACGCATTGAGCCTTTGGGGCTTGGCCAAGGTCAGTATTTCATACTGTTTTGTTACCTATGCTCTTAACTCTGCTTGCTGAAGTGCTTTGTTGAATTATTTGTCTTGCAGGGTTATCAATGGGTGTCTTGAATTTGGCAATTGTCGTTCCACAGGTGCTTTGCTTTATATAACTACAGTCATGGATTTGTTTCATTGGTTTATTTCCTTGCAATTTCCTTGCTGTGACATCAAGTTTGTTTTCTACTTTTCCTGGTCATAAAATCAGGAAGACTGTAAGATGGGGCACATAGTAGGAGCTCTTTTCTTGATAGTTCCTTTTAGGTCATCTATGTATACTCAGTTGACTTGCAACTTGATAGCATTTGATATAAATAGGTCATTAACTAGAAGATGTTCAGTTACCTAAATCACAAGGAAACCTGAAAAGAGGGTTTAGAGTTGCTGGACTCTCATATATGATTTATACTCTGTGCTACTCTGGAGAGAGTATCATCCTAGTGGAGTTGGATCTTGCTGTCTTGGCACGGTATATGTCTGCCTCTATTATTGGGAAAAAGTACGCTATTTTATGACTGTCATCTATACAGCAACTGATGCCTCTTTCACTTTCCAAGCCATCTTAGTCCCATTGCTTGCAGCGTGGTAATTAGAAGAGACAGAGTACCAAATTGCAGTTGCAGCTTACTATATCCAATCAATAGTTTTTGTGCTGTTTGGTGGCAGGTTATCTCTAAACTGTAGATACCGTTTGCTAGAAGTAGATTAGAGGAAGTTTTTTTCAGTTTGGAAATATGGAAAATGTCCAAGCAGCCCAATTTTGTTTTAAGGTATACTGTTCGAATGGTTAGGGACATCTCGCTAGATTTAAATTAGGAATTCGAAGCAGGGCAATCAGACAATACCAACTAGATTGCCTTTTGAGTTGCGATTGTGAGCCTCCATTCCAAATGTCATCTAGCTTTCTAAGAGTTTCCTGGACCAACAACCTGTTCTGGCTATTACTGTATACATTTAATATTTAAGAACGCCTGATGTGCATCTATACCAAATCAAGTTCACCGAGAACCACATAATGGTGGGTTGGCCATATATGGGAAGGTAGATAGATTTTTGTAGAAGCAACATTGATTTGGTTGTGGAAGTGGTTCAAGATGATTTATTTTTCAGACAACTCAGAGAAAGCTCAGTATGATGTAGGTGCCGATGGTGGGAATGGTCCATGATAACAATTGACAAAACTTACCATACAGAGCAGTGTTGATTTGGTTCAAAGATATGAAGTATCTTTGTTGCATTTTCATTGACTTCCGAGTTTTATGAAAGCAAAAGTAACAAAGGATGTTGCTGGATTGATGGAAAACTGCTTGTACATGAGCACACAGTATCTTTTGAACTGTGATTGCAGTTCTTTTACTTCACCTGCCACCGTGAAGAAACTATCATCCTTTTTCTGAATCGTCTGTAGTTGCAATAAAGAACCTCATTTACTTCAATTCATTTATATCTGGAACTTACCTTCTGGGCTTTAGATAAAGGCTCTCTGATCACTGAGCAGATAAAGACTCTCGTGATCAGTGTGCATGGTAAATGGTTCTGACAATTTTTTCTGCAACTTTTGGATAGCTAGAAATATTGTTGTCTTGTGCATTATGAAGTGCCACTCTGGCTAGAGACTCGGTGAATGTAGAAATCAACTTGTCTGTTATACGGTCTGTTAGGGATATGTCTGTTATTTGTGGTGCCCCTTTCTGGCGTATGAATGTAAGATAGTTAGCAAATTGATGGAAATAATTAGAGGCTGCCTGCCGTCGATTCTGTTTGTGAAGTGTAATGTTGTTGCATTTATGCTTCATTGTTCCTTATCTTGGATAGTTGTAGCAAGTGAAGAAAGACTCTTGAGTTAAAATTGCATATTATCTAAAACCTACTGAGTACTGTCTTGTGGTGACTGAATGCAGGTTCTGGTTTCGCTGGGATCTGGTCCATGGGATCAACTGTTTGGTGGCGGAAACTCACCAGCCATAGCTGTGGGAGCTTTGGCAGCACTTATCGGTGGACTGATTGCTATTTTGGGGATTCCTCGATTCACTCCTCAGAAGCCAAGGGTTCTTCCATGAGGTATTCGCCTCTGGACCTAGAATTTTTCGTATTACAAACCCAAAGTACATCATAGTCATCAACAACAGTTTAAGCAAGAATTTTGTACATAGATGATGTATTTTTTTTCTTCAAATTATGTTCCTATTTTTGTCAATAAAAGCATTTGCATATCATCAGTTTGCCACCCTCCCTCTTCAATTGAACTGGATCCAACTGGTGATGGGGCGTTTTTATATTTGGGTGAATCTGGAGCCTACATCCCAATGTGTTGGAGCTTCAAGATGCAGCAGAAGTGTTAAGAGAGATGCCCAAATTTTATACATTACTCTGCTTGTTAGCAGAGGATGGAAAATCGAACTCGTTTTTAGCTTTAGCATAGAATGAATGGTGTATGAATGAACAGGTAGCAGCCAAAGGTAAAACATATACATACTGAAGATAAGGGGCTGCAATTGTCATTAGGAGAGAAGAAGGTAAAGGTTTTTGCAATGGGCTGAAAATGTCATTATAGGGAGGCTGGGGTTGGTGGTCCAAAGCATCTTCTTTCTGGGGTGGCAAGGCATGCACGAAACTGAGTGTGTATGAATGAATGAATTTGGTGGGGGTGGAATTGTGCTTGATGGTGGGCAACAGTTGGGTTTTATTATGAGTTGTTCTGATTGAAACATTGATGGAGACATGTCTTGTTGTATGTTCTCTTTCTTTCTTTCTTTCTTTCCTTTCATTTTGGCTTTTCTTTAATAACGAGAAGAATGGAATGTGATTGGTCATTTATGGAAGGTCAGGTTTAATTAATTGTATGGTTTGCATGCTGCTGCTACTTCCCCCTTCCTCCCCTCTTGCTGTTTGGTTGCTTGAGGGTGAGCTTTGGAATAAATTCCTAGTGGTATGGTGATTATGCTCCTCTCCATGAAAGTGGAAAAAGCCTGTTTTACTATCAGTGCCATTATCTACCCATATAGTGATCTCTGGATTCTTTAACTGTGGGTGCTTGTTGGCTATGGCTATGGCTATGGCTATGGCTAGTGTCATGTCAGGGTAGTAATGTATGTCTTGAGAGGTGATCATCATATTTTTTTAGTGCTGTTAACTTTTTTTTTGTATAAAGGAAAATCAGCAGGGGCTCCTTTTTTCTTTTGGCTACAGACAGCAGAAAAAACGGAAATGGGTGCAAATACTATAGTGATTTGCATTTGTCGACATGGAAGTTTGGATTTTTGTTAAGATGCTGATTGGGGTAAGATGTCAGCGCTGGCTGGCACCGTCCAGATCGCGTGGCAAGTGATTTTCGACCATTGAGATTGAGTGTATACGTTGGCAATATTTTTGGTTGAGGTGTATGGGAAATGTGGCTCTTGGGAATGAGGGGAAAGAAGAGAAGAGAAGAGAATAAAATAGAATGTAAAGTAATGCATGTCCGTTCCCCATGCAGTAAATTTAGGGAGATGGGATTTGAGGAGACAAGTAGAATCCGAATTAGGGTAGGAATCAAACAAAAGGACGATGGCTTTTGTAGCCATTTTGACATGCATGTGATGTGAGTGAGTGAGTGCGGCTTGAGAGTGAGAGAGAGAGAGAGAAATGAATGGAGCAAACTAGTAGTGCAATTAAGCATGGAAATTGGTAGTGGTTTGGAATATCTGAATTTGTTCCACTTGGCATGGTGGAGTCTGGAGTGAAATGAATGGAGTCTTGTCTCATGTTGGTTTTGGTAACTTGATGGATTAATGATCCTAGTGATTTCAGCTAATGTCAAATGCATGCATGGGCTAATGTAGCTTATGCATTTTAACAGCAGAGCTCAGTAAGCTCATGTGATTATCTAACGCTCTGTTTGGCAACAAGGGGAGTGCAAATTGCAGGAGGGTGCAAGTTGAGGGGCAAATTGCTGGGGGGTGCAAATTGCTGGGGGGTGTAAGTGGAGGGGTAAATTGTTGTTTGGATGAAAAAGTAGGGGGTGCAAATAAAGTGCAAAGTAAGTAATTATATTATTTTAAAATAGATTTTAAAATTATAAATATTATCATAAAATAATAAAATAAATATTACTATATAATAATAAATATACTTTACTAAAAATAGTTATTATATAATAATGCTCAAATAATAATTAATTATAACAATTGTAATAATCATTGATCGAGCGATCTCAAAACTCGAAGCTCAACTCCTAACTTGTCATCCTATATAGGGTTTTCGTGTCTAGTTTAATCTTAAATTGTCAAACTTAGTCAAACACGTTCGAATTTGTAAGTTTTAACTATTTAGTCAAATAAAATGAGTTAACCAAACAATTTCTCTCTATCTTTTCCACAAACACCTTGTATATCTAATTTTCAATGCAAATTCGATTCAACCAAGAGATCTAGATTTGACTTGACGAACATTTATAAACTTGTTTCCAGAGTCAAATGGTCAACCCCGAATAATGTTTACATTAATGATATTTATAAAAAGAAGAAATTGATAATATTAATTATTATATAATTATATATAACACAATTAGAAAACCAAAATTCCATAATTCCCCCCTCCCCCTCTCTTCCTTCCTTCCTTTGCACCCCAATTCGGGGGGTAAGCCGAAACAGTAAATTTGCACTCTCGTTTTGCACCCCCCTACTGTTCCAAATTAACCAAACAGGTGCAAATGTGTTGGAAACTGTGTTTACCCCTCACATTTGCACCCTCCTCCCATTTACCCCTCTTCCCAAACAGAGTGTAAGACAAAGGCAAAAAGGAAGCCACGTAGGTACGGTTGTTCGTATGGAAATGTGGTGGCTGGCTGTGGTTGGCTTTATTTACGTTCATTAATTATGGCTTTTGTGGGATCTCTCTCCCTCTCTCAATCGCAGTTGTCTGTTTTGTGTGGGTCGGGTGGGACTGGGTGCCACCGCCCCACTGATTCAGTAACTCGACACGTATCTCTCGTCCTTAGCCATTTATTGAGGTGGTGGACTGGAGACGCAGTGCAGAGGGGAAAGAAAACTGACATGTTAAGAGAGGGAGAGGGTTATGGGATTCAGTGTGGGAAGGCAGGCAGCACAGCAAGCAGTGGTAATATATCTTTGCTTCTGATCTTCTTCCCCTTCTTGCATCAATCATCATATCTTATGGGAGGAAGTGCGATGGATGGTAATGGAAAGAAAGAAGGGGAGTGAAAGGGTATCAATGATGAATTTCTTGAAGCTACTCTGCCGTCTGCCGCTGCACGACTGTTGGGCTGCAGAGGCGCAGAGAGGGCAGAGACTGTGTGTGTGTGTTGGAAATGGGAAGAAAGTGGTGGGTGGGACTGTGTTGGAATTCAGGAGGGAAGCCAAAAGCATTTCATCCCAAAGAGAGACAGCTTCTCTTTTGTGATACACATCTTAAATGGTTGGAACTGCACCCATCCACGTTACTGTTATTTTGTTTCTTTCCTATCGCTCTCTCCCTTATTGCTTTGCTGCCACTTCTCCATGCTCCTCCAATCCCCCTTCATCCTTCTGCTCTCTCTGTCTGTCCTTCCTGTCATCATCTCCCCATTAATTTACTTCAAGTGGTCCTTTTCATAACCCAATACCTACTCTCCATCCCCGCATACTCTCCCCGACCCTTTAATCCTGTTTCTTCCGCCCCATAGAACATATCGAGAAATCGACAATATAAAAAAGAAATGAACACATATTTACTGGTTCACTAATACATGTATTTACTACATCTATAGATAGAAGATAGCTATTTAACTACTCGAGGAAATACATATTAAACAGATTGAGAAGGTATATATAACATCTTCTCCATAAAGTCTAACCTAATACAACTGAAAAAAAATAAAAGGTTATAAACCAGACCCAACAATAGTAAATCAAAAGTGCATATGCTCATATGCTGTGGGTCGGGGGTGTTGCCTACGAACCCCCATATAAGGTGCTCCGCCCCCTGGAACCAGACTCGCTGATCGGACAGTGAGATCCCCTGTAAATTGCAGTCGACGATAAATAATCTGTATTCAAGTCATAACATCAATTCTCCACCTTGACTTGAATTCTCTCTCAAATACCGAATGTGCTAAGAGAAAGCCGTGCAACCAGAGTTCCCCAACCTATACAAAGGGGGGGCGGAGCGCTAAGAAAGAGAAAGCGTTATCACTATACGAAATGAAGCAGCGGCTAGCACGCTAAGATCAACCACTTGGAGAACGTGGAGCCTTTCTTTCTCGGTCGTCTGTCTTAATATAAGTGGACTCCTCTCAAGTCTCAGAATGACGCTAAGGGCATCAACCACTCATACCATTTTGTTGTGGTGTATCTCTAACAGTTCGATGATGAGCAATTCCTTCATTTTTTCATAAATCATCAAACTCAGAACTACAGAACTCCATACCATTTTCAGTACAACGCTTTTTGATATTCTTTCCAGTCTTATTCTCCACTGGGGCCTTCCACTGCTTGAAGTTCTTAAAAGTTTCTTTTTTATGCTTCATAATGAATATCCAAATAAACGTTGAGTAGTCATCGATAATGGATAAAAAATACCTTCTGCATCCAATAGATTCAACTCGAGAGGGACCCCAACAGTCAGCATGGAAGTAATTCATTATCCCCTTCGTCTGGTGAATACCCTTCTTAGGAAACTTACTACGATGTAGCCTCCCAAACACACAATGTTCGCGGAATGCAAGACACTGGACCTTGTGGATGCAAAGAAGATTCTATTCGAAAAAATTTGCATCCCTCTTTCACTCATATGACCAAGTCTCAAGTGCCAAAGACTGGTCATATCTTCCTTTGTGAACTTCAGATGATGAAACAACATAACCTGACATCACAGAACCTTTCAAAGCATACAAGGTACTATGTTTCACACAATTCATAAGCTTCTTTGAACCCTTGCAGACATACACAACTCCACCTTTTCCCTTGAAGCTGGAATCCTTACTGTCTAGTAGACTTAAAAAAATTAGATACTTGGAAAATTTGTGGAACATGTCTAACTTCTTTCACAAGACAGAACAAATCATCATGTGTTCGTACTCTAATTAAGCATATTCCAACCACTTTGTAGACAACTCCATTAGTCATAACCACATTTCCTCCATCTATCTAAATGTAGGTTAAATAACCATCCCTATTTCTAATACATATGGTAAGATGCTATTGTACCTAGAAACCACACATCTGTACGATGTGACTTTTCATTTACAGCCAAAGCGAAATCGTCTTCATAACTGTTGTCAATTTCTGCTATGACAGCAGAACCTTGTTTCTTCTGATTTCCCTTTTCTTGGGACAATTGTATTTCCAATGCCCCTTTTCTTTACAGTGATGACATCATCAGACAACAATATCATGATTGTCGAGTGGGCCTTCTCATCCAGGGTATTCCACTCTTTATCATCGATCTCTGTCTTCTTCAGTTTCTGAGATAGCAGCACTTAAACCCTTGGCGTTTTAAAGTGTTTGCATCTTGATATGTTATATACCGAAACTGTTCTTCCCTATGAACTTTTCAATCTTCATATTCTATGAAGTCATTCATGAATTTCAAACACCTTAACTAATAGCCAACCACAACTCTAATGCCACTGGTTAGAACAGATCGGGAAATCGACAATGTAAGAAAGTAAAGAACAAAGAGATTTACGTGGTTCACTACACGATTTGTGTTAGTTATGTCTACGGGCAGTAGAGAGTAGTTTCACTCTACTTGATGTGATACATATTACATAGATTGAGAAGGTATATATATAACACCTTCTCTAGACGACCTAACATAATCCAACATATATGAAAAATAAAAGGCTACAGACCAAGCCC